GCACCGGCAGTCGTGAAACGGGGAGCTAGATACAGAAGGGATAAGAGAGAGGAAGCAGACTGACCAAGCAAGACCCGCTTGGAGTAAAATGAGCCACCAGATTATGGCCTGGTCTGGCTCAGTAGGGCACAGGGTCCAGCACCTGCCCCTCCCACCAATTAACAACATTTGGCCAGGCCACAAGCGAATTAAACACAAGTCCAGCCCTTTTTGGCAAAAGTCAGTCACCACACAAAGCAGTAGAGGAAAAAACATTGACCGTCAGACTCCTAGCAACCCACCCACCTCAAGCATTGCAAAGAGGCAAGAGAGAGCCCGTCCCAAACTGCAAGGCTAGTCACAGCTACAACCCTGTCAGCAGAGATCTAGGGGGAAGCCACGTGGGGAGACAGGATCTGGGACCCCAGAGAGCTGGGCTGGCAGGAGCTCTTAGTGCCGATACAGTTTGGCTGGTACATTTGCACTGCCAACAAGATAGCTCATTTTGACTGTAGGAGGCAGATTACTACACTGGTACAATCACAGCTTCTTTCTCACAGCGTGTCAGTGGAGAACACTAGAGTAAGTCAGCATACACATAATGTAAGAGGAAACATTACACACCCTTAAGTTTGCAAATTAGATACAGACAAAAAGCAGCTCTATTAGGAGGCTCTTATCAGTGCAAGGGGGGAAAAAAAGATAACCCAAGTGTATTGCTCCCCACATCCCCTTTCCATCAGTTCCTTCCTTACTCTGGGGCTAGTAACGTAATTTTGGCCCAGACACCAGTGAAAGTCAATAGAGCATCCAGAAATAGTGGCACTGAGCAGGACAGCTAGAGTAGCCAATAAATATGGAAATTTTAACTTAAAATAGATCTAAAAATGTAAAGACTAGAAACCTACATAAAATGTGTTAATACTAAATTATCAAATACATCTTTTCTGTTTACAAGGCAGATCTCCAGATCTATTCTAAGTACTCCTTAACGTAGTTACTTTCCAAATAAGCTTTTTGCCCGCTGTAACCGGAAAGCATAAATACAGAATGAAATTAAAATATTTTTTAAATCACTTGGATTTAAATACTGATCTGGCTTAAACAATGTGGGATTTTTTTGTTGTTTTCTATACTTTACACACTAAGTTTTTCCTTCTCTGATCTTGTAAAAGAATGCTTTATGGTTCTCTCTTGGAACAATTAAGAAAAGGTCTCTCGGGCAGGTGAGGCACTATAAGAACATAGCAGTCTTCCTACATCATATGCTCTGCAGCTGTCAGCTACCTGTAGCAATTATCTCACTTTATTTGTCAATGAAGTGCTAGAAATACATACCATAACGTTACTTAACAAAAAACAAGCAAAACCAAACACACACAGGTGCAATCCTTGCCCTGAAGAGCCTGCAAGATAACAAGATAAAGACAGAACTTTGGAATGAGCTCAGGAGACAGGCAAGCATGTAGAAGATGAAGTTTTTGATGACACCTCTGGCAGAAGGCTCTTTGCATACAGATGATGATGACTCAAGGAGCACTAGGCAACAGAAAAGATAAGAGGGCGATGCTTTCAGTCATCCCCAGGAAACAAATATTTGTTAGCAAGAAACGAAAACATAGCTTCACAACAGGTGGAAGTGAGCTTTGAAAGTGAAATTTGGAGGAGTTTTCCAAAACAAGTTCCTAACCAACCAGTTGTTGGACCAACTGCTCGACAGAGCACATTCAGGGTAAAGCCAGGGGGCCGTTGCTATTGGGATCTTTCACATTTACAGATGCACTTCATTTCCTCCAAATGAAGAAAAGAAGCTTAGCAACGACCGTATGGACACATGCCAAAACATCTGCATAAGTTGTGAACTTGACCAGGCTATCATCTCATTTGTGAGGTGCCTTCAGTCTAGCTTGTCTCCTACGCAAGATGAAAGGCTGCAGGACTGAGCTTTGTCCAAGTGAAGTGCTCTGGTGAGGCACCGACTTCCAGAACACATGGGACCGCACCTCTGCACCCTTTAACCACAACACTCATTTCAAAACACACAAGAATCACTCAGATGACAGTCTTGCATCTAAGATGCCAGAAAACTGTACAATGAAGCAACAAGCAGCACAAGAAGCATACACAACTTCAAACAAGAGAAAACCCCAGCTGTACACAGACAAAAATATTCTGGGTTGACTAAACCTTTTTATTTTGCTACATGCATACATGCACACACACAAACTTGTAAATGACCCTTTCTTAAGGGGATGTTCTTCAAGCGAGAGAAGTATCTGCAGAA